CCGTGGATAGGGGTGGGGATAACTACTGGGGATTTCTCGTTTTGGCGGGAAATCCCTTGTTCTAGGTATTATAAAGGTGCGTATATCCGTACATTCGCGGTGCCCTTTTCTGATCTGCTATAAATTCGCCTGTCGCTCTGCTGGATACGCTGCTGCTGTCGCTTTGCCTGCTACTGTCGCTCTGCTGGACGCGCTGTCGCTCTGCCTGCTGCTACTACTCTGCCTTCTGCTGTCGCTCTGCTGGACGCGCTGCTGCTGCGCCTGCTGCTGTCGCTTTGCCTGCTGCTGTCGCCCTCTCTGCCTTCGCTCTGCCTGCTACTGTCACCGCAACGCCTGCTGCTGTCGCCCTGCTAGACACGCTACTACACGTAGGTAGTTGTATTCGCCTGCTGCTGTCGCTGCTGGGACTGATTCTGATCCGCTATAAATTCGCTCTACCTTTTAGGAGCCTATCTAATTAGCGCGCTCGCTGAACGGTAAAACTCGCTTATAGGTGAGAGACGTTACTAAGGAGCGATGGGCTTAGCGTAGGATCTTCGGGGCGAACAGGCCGTTTAGTACCATAGCAACGGGGACCGCGGACTCCGTAGTAAGGTATAAGGCTAATAACTACCGCCACAATATTTCTCACTCGCGTATCCATAGCTCTCGAGAACTACCTACTTTATTCGCCATCATGAGCGCCTCCAGGTCCGTCAAAATTCGCACTGCAATCCCTCTAATAATCAATTTACCAACACCCCCAGCGAAAAACGAGCCCGCAAACCCCAGCTACAGACCCAACCTCTCCCCCCCAAGCAAGCCGACCATGGCAAAGACTCGGATTCCCGCGCCGAGTATGAGTTCTGCGGCCCATTGGGCGTCAGCGCCATGATTATTGGCTTCCCGCTCCTAATGTGGTACATGTACGTCGGCGCCATATGCTACAACGGGCGTCTCCCGCTACCGGCCGAAGACCAGTCTCTGCCAGACTTCGTGCGCGGGGTTGCAGGTCTCGCGTACACGCACGCGTATCCGCATCGCAGAGCCTGGGTTATCTACTGGACGTTCCTGGTCTTCGAGGCGCTAGGCTATATGTTCCTCCCCGGCGTCTACGGCAAGGGTAAACTGCTCCCGCATCTAGGTAAGCAGCTGGACTACTACTGCTCCGGCATCTGGTCGTGGTATCTCACGATCGCGGGCGCTTTGGTGTTGCACTTTTCCGGACTCTTCAGGCTGGACACACTCATTAACGAGTTTGGGCCGCTGATGTCGGTCGCGATTATCAGTGGCTTTTTGGTCGCGATCGTGGGGTATGTCTCCGCTTTTGCGCGAGGTGTGCAGCATCGTATGACAGGCAACCATGTCTACGACTTTTTTATGGGCGCGGAGCTGAATCCGCGCTTGTTTAGCTGGCTGGACTTTAAGATGTTCCAGGAGGTGCGTATTCCTTGGTATATGCTTTTCCTGCTCTCGCTTGGTGCTGCGTTGAAGCAGTACAATGAGCTAGGCTATGTTTCCGGTGAGGTTTGTTTCATCCTCATGGCACACTTTCTGTATGGCAATGCCTGCGCAAAAGGCGAAGAACTTATTATCACGAGCTGGTATATTCCTCAAACTATTACCTTCTACCCTCGCTATTTACTAAAGTATAGTCCAGGGACATCTACTACGAGAAATGGGGTTTCCTGCTCATCTTCTGGAACCTGGCCGGTGTTCCATTAACATACTGCCACTGCACTATCTACCTCGCCACCCATCATCCCTCGGAATACCACTGGAGCCGAGGATCTTTGGCTCTCTTGTTTACGACTTATCTCTTCGCCTACTGGGTCTGGGACACAGCCAACAGCCAGAAAAACATGTTCAGGGCCATAGAGCGCGGCAGCGAACTTAATAGGAAGACTTTCCCGCAACTCCCATGGAAGTTCGTCAAGGACCCCAAGGTTGTTCACACGGACACGGGGGACAACATCTTGTGCGATGGATGGTGTAAGTCAAACACTTCTTTCCGAGGAAATCATTGATCCTAATTGGGTTTTTTGGCAGACGGAATGGCGCGTAAGGTCCACTACACCTGTGATTGGTTCTTCGCTTTCTCGTGGGGCCTTATCACTGGCTTTAACTCGCCATTTCCGTGGTTTTACTCAGCTTTCTTTACGGTTATGATTATCCATCGTGCTCGAAGAGATATTAGAAGGTGCCGGAAGCGGTATGGTGCTGCTTGGGAGAAATATGAGCGCCAGGTGCCGTATCTTTTCATTCCTGTAAGTGCTTTCGCTGTTAGAAAAAATTTTATGTGCAATGCTAACATGGGCTTAGTACGTGTTCTAAGGATTTTCTGGAACACAACCACGACATCGTATAACAGGCCTCGTCTTTAATATTGGAAGTAACGTTTTGATAGCTCTTGAAGGTTTGCTTCTACAACCCATAGTTTTGGTTTTTTGCTGGTAATTCTAGATAGAAAATTATAAAATTTTATGTCTTTAATAAATTTCCAGAATCGCCCATCTACTTGATTATCTATTTCGTATCTTAAAGCATGTTGTTGGGGATGGATTTTAATACCTTGTAGCACAGCGATGGAAAAGACAGAATGTTTAAGTCTTACCATTTAAAATCCGTACTTTTTGCCCTGGACCTTGTTGAACGATTCTGTTCGGGAATTTCATTACAAGTATCTCGGATATTAGGTTATTGGAGCTTCTCCTTCGGGTACTTAATGTATAGTATAAAAGTGTATGTGGCATTGAGGGAGGTAAATTAACGGGAATGCGGTTTGTGCGCGGGTACTTTACTGGGATAAGAGGGGTGTACTTGCTGCAAAAGTTGCGTTCCAGCGTTCCTGCTGCGCACTTTTTGCGACACCCGACTTGATGATGTACTGTACTACGTATTACGTGCTTCTGAGCAACATCTCTGACTAGATGTATCAGCCCAAGAAACCACAGCTAACTTTATGTAGCTATGATGACCGAAATGCTAATGCTAGCATCCAGTAGCGGCGCCCGCGGCTCCCACGGCGTCCACGGCGACCGAAAAGCCGTACATCAGTCCCCCAATCCTACCATGAACAAAATTCTTCAAACATTCCTTGTCCTGAGTCGAGTTGCGTCAAAACACCTGTCACCTTGTTCATCATGGCCTCCAATCACAACCCACACGAAATCAGCAATGCGGAAAATGACGCAAAGCTGTTCCCTGAAACAGGCCAAGGAGACCAGGTCCTCCTCGAGTCCATGGGATATTCAGCCGAGCTTTCGCGCACCCGGACTACCCTCCAGGTTGCGTTTATGGCTTTTGTGCTTGGATCGATACCTTTTGGTCTCACCACCAACTTTTATCAGCCGCTTGTTGGTGGCGGCCCAGCCAACATTATATGGGGTTGGGTTGGCGTCTCGTTCATTGTTCTTTGCGTTGCTGCTTCTCTTGGAGAAATCACGAGTGTCTGCCCAACCGCAGGAGGTAAGAATATTTGTGTCCTGTGTAAGTTGCGTGCTAATCCAAAGCTGCAGGTGTATACCACCAGACGTTTGTGCTGTCCACAGCTAAATGGCGTCGCCCTGCCAGCTGGACCTGCGGTTGGCTATATGTCGTCGGCAATATCACAATCACCCTTTCTGTAAATTTCCTCGCCACTCTGTTTATTATATCCTGCCTCAACATCTTCGAAACCTCACCGGGCGTTGGCATTTTTCCAAACGAACCATACCAAGTTTATCTTATATTCCTCGGCATAACAATACTTTGCAATGTTGTCTCTTCAATGGGAAATCGCTGGCTACCCATTCTGGATGTATGGAGTACTCTTCACACATGAAGGCAGTGGCTGACGAATAACAGATGGTTGCTATGCTTTGGACGCTTGTAGGTGTAACCGCTTTCATCGTCTGCATCCTTGTTATCGCCAAGGATGGCCGCAATGACGTTGAACACGTCTTCACTGAGTTTAAACCTTTGTCCGGTTGGCCCGCCGGGTGGTCCTTCTGCATTGGCCTTCTGCAAGCTGCATATGGCACGTCGTCCACCGGCATGATTATCTCGTAAGTTCTGTCCTCCCAAATTACTTCTACTGCTTACGGTGTCAGTATGTGTGAAGAAGTTCTAGAGCCTTGGATACAAGTCCCGAAAGCAATGGTCGCTACAGTGGGGATTAACTTCTGTGCTGGCCTTTTCATTCTGATCCCTCTGGTCTTTGTGCTGCCCGACGCAACAACCCTTACCGGTAATACTCAGCCTGTGCCAACGATTGTGAAAGAAGCCACCGGCTCTTCTGGAGGCGCCTTCGCCCTACTCATCCCGTTGATGGTGCTCGGCTTGTTGTGCGGGATTTGCTGCACAACGGCTACTTCGCGTGCTGTGTGGGCCTTCGCACGCGATGGCGCTATCCCAGGATCTTCGCTGTGGAAGCAGGTGAATAACTCTAAAATCAACGGTGTGCCCTTTAACGCTATGATGATGAGTATGACCGTCCAATTGCTCCTCGGGCTTATCTACTTCGGCTCCTCTGCTGCCTTCAATGCTTTTTCGAATGTCGGTGTTGTCTGCTTGACAGCCTCTTATGCAGTTCCCATCGCTGTGAGCCTTGCTGAAGGCCGCACGAAAGTTAAGGCTGGTGAATTCTACCTTGGCCAACTCGGGATATTTTGCAATGTTATGGCACTTAGTAAGTTATTACCCGTGTGTCCTCTTTCTATCGCCGCTTGTGGTCTTTCACCAGACTTCAGGAGAAGACTCGTGCTTTTTATATGGTGTCCTGTTACTTACTATTTTTTAGGTTGGTCTCTACTTACCATCCCGCTATTTTGCATGCCCGCAACTATTCCTGTTGACAAGGACTCAATGAATTACGCGAGTGTTGTGTTCGTAGCCTCTATTCTAATCGCAATCGGTTGGTACATTGTATGGGGTTATAAGAATTATGTCGGCCCGTTGCATAGTATTTAAACTCATACGCACTATCCGACCACCGACTAACAAGCACGGCAAGGTCCCAGAGTGCAAGAAAATAGAAAACTACAAAAAAACCTTTAATAATAAGATATCTGCCTAGTAATCTCCCTCAAAATGGAACTTCTTCTATCCTTTTCCTGAACAGAACCTTTGCATCTGGATCGACTATGGCTTCTTGCCCAAAGATTTTGTCTTCTAGACGATCCTCATTTGGGAGCTTCCAATCATACTTCAACAGTAGATGACACAGCGCGACTTTGATTTCGTTGGAGGCAAAGAACCGACCCGGACAGGCGTGCTTTCCATGACCAAAGGCAAGATGCTCGGCTGAAGTGGTCACAAACTGCCATTTGTTCTCGTTTCCTGGCTGCTGGCGCATGTCAAGGAACCGACGGCCTTTGTATGCGGTGGACTCTGGAAAAATGGACGTGTCGTGCATCCTGTCGATGGCGACCACGGTCAGGGCGCCTCTTGGGATCGTGGTACCATCGGAAAGTGTGATGGGTTGCTCAACAAACCGCGACATTGAAGCTGTGAGTTTAAATAGTTAGTCTCATGAAGATCTCGGTAGGAAAGGGCCGCTTTTCAAATACTAACCAATGTCTCCAAAATGATGCCTCTGGGACTCCTTCATTACGCTGTCTAAGAGCCTCATCTCAAACAAAGATGTCTTTCTCCATCCCTTCTCTCCAAGAACAGTGTACATCTCATCTCGAAGCGGCTTGAAGTACTCTGGGTTCGCACAAAGGTCTAGCATGATTCCTGTCAACAGCTCGCTCGAAGTGTGTATAGCCGCGATCGAGATCCCAAGTTGAGCAATGGCAACGTCATACGGGCGACCTTTGGCCGCCTCATCCAACCAGCCAATTGTATCAGCCACCTTAGATGTGGGCTGCCCCGCCTCCTGGGCCTTGCGATTCCGTTCTCTGCGCTTCCCAACTACAGGCATGATAATCTGGCGTGCCTCCCGGATGTCGCGTCTGACCTGGCGGCATTCGGGCAAGAACCAGTGAATAATGGGACGTATGTATGTAGGCCATTCTCGCAACTCGCGCGCTGCAATGAACGCATTGATGGTATAGTTTTCAGTAAGAGTGAGCCATTCCTCGTTCTCGCAGAGCTCTTCGCCGATAAAGACGCGTGCAGATAGCCGGGAGATCAGATGGATTATTTTGAGCTTAATTGGTATTTCTGTCCATTCTGTCTTATGTATTAGCAGGCGTTGTCCATCGCTTACGTGTTGTCTTGAATTGATTGTACGAGCAGCATACCTTCAGGTTCGCCGAGTGTGTATTTAATGGACTTTGAAGACTCGTCCGAAAGCTCGTCTAGAATCAAACCTAGATTCCGACAAATCAGCATGACGAAAGGAATTTGGGTAAATAATAAAAAATAAAAATAAAATAAACTCATACCAAGTGATCGTGTAAGTTTGCCTCTAACCATATCCGCAACAATGGTACTCTCCGCAGAGCTGTTGAATGGCTCGAAGCCTGGGTATTTGCCAAAGAACTCCTACACAATGTTAAATATTGTTACTAGCAGATAGTAATCACTCAACGTACGTCGGACAAAGCCTTTCCGAAGTTCATGTGTGGATCGTTCCGTATTTCATCCGCAAATCGATTTGGTATAACAATTTTCGGACCAACGCCAGTGAAAACCTGGAAGCATCCTGAGAACTGCGATATATTAGCATTGTACAAAATATTATGCAGCAAAAACAACCGTACTTGCTTCAACCCCTGGTTCAGGATCTCTTTGCCGTCCACCAGCCATTTATTTCTAGCTTTCGAAAGCTTGAACACTCCTGTGCTCTCGACACCAACAACAGGAAATCCGGGGTAGAGACTGGGTTCATGGAAAGTGACGATATACGCCAAAACCAATGAAACAAGAGTAAGTAGGAGTGCTAAATGCGAGCTTTCGACGATGAGATTGATAGACTCGAGCAGCATATTGAAAACCGTCGAATAACTTGTAAGGTGATGCTCCACGTAACACATTGCATACACAAGAGCATATACGCCCATATATACTTATATAGACTTTGAAGCCATATGTCTTAAAAGTTGTGTTACTTATGATTCGTCAAGCATAGAGGGGAGTGTAAGCCGAGAAAGAGACTAGGCCCGATAAATTTATGTGCTAAAGCCGCGGACAGCGCGGGCGCCGCGGATAGCACGGGCAGCCGCTCTACCTACTATTGTCGCTTACGGCGACTGTCACGGTCCCTCGCGCCTACCTAGTAAGCCTGCTTTGCTGATGCTGCCGCTGCTGTTATTATCGCTTACTAAGTCGCTATATCCTATGTCGCTTACTCGTAGATAATACCTATAGCGAAACTGCAGTTACAAAATAACGCTTATAGTAACGTAAGTCGACGCCCCTAACAGGCTTTGTTTAATAAACTAAGTGGTATATCATCCTCGCATCAGCGAAATTATTCACCAGAAATATCCTGGTCCTACTGGTATACGGTAAAATTGCTCCAATTGCTCCATACTTGCTTCTTCAAATACAGCAATGCCTCCTGCCACTCCGTGGCTGTCCACTTGCCAGTTATCAAGTATTAAAGCTTCGTACATATTTTCGAGTATTGCCAGCAGCTGAGTCCTATGCCGCATGCCGTATAGATGAGTATAATCCGTTTCCCATAAGCCCGGCGTAGAACCGTCTGAGCGACATGCGAGTTTGAATGGAAGTTCAACACGCATTGAATCTTCAAATGGGCAAGGGGCCTGGATCCAACAGAAATCAAAGAATACTCCGCATGGCATTCTCGACTGCTGCAAGTAGATAGGCCAAGTTACTTCAGTTTCAGAATACTGTTTAGTATGTTCGATCATGAACAAGCGGATTGCCCACCGGAAGTCCGGCTCAAAGTGCGGGCCCTCGATCCTACGAAATGGCTGCTCTATAAACTCTTCTAGAGTTGGGACTCGTATGCCGGGGGCAATAAAGGTAAAGTTCGGTTTTCGAACGCGAGAAAGCAGCTCACGTGCAAATCCCTGCGGTATCCCAGCGGCATCCAGCTGGGTAGCGTCTAAAAGGCCGTATTGCGGTGTATCCTGTTTATCCTCCACGTAGCCGGGCATGCGCCTCTCGATCTCCGCGACAAGTTCATTCCAGATCGTAATTGTGTCTTCGATATCCAAAGACGAATATGGAACCATAGTCCAAGGCTTGAAGATGTGCCCAAGCCTGAACGTCCCTGTGACAGGATCAATCTCAGGAGCATCCTCACGGTCTAGAATCATCTGCTTCGAAAGCGCTACGGCCTTGCCGCGCTCTATCATGTCGATGTATATGCTCAGAACGCACTCTAACTTCATCCAGCCATTTGCAGAATCGACTTCCGGACCCGATATGTCTTCCATGCTGAAGTTCATGCGCACAGTATGATCGGCTTGGTCATACCTGTTGTACCAATCAGTCTTCGAGTATACACCCAAGACACGTTTGAATACTTACACAAGTCCATCCGGGTTGGACCCAAACTCAGTATGTGTGACATAGAGCGTCACAGTGCGCTCGGGTTCTCCGAAAACATCGTGGAACCAAAACTCACCTACGCCGTTTAACCCATGGAGATATGTAAAGAAGCTTAGCCCGGATTTCCAAGGTGTAACATATGCTCGTTGCAAGAAGTCCACAAGTGACGGATGAAGCTTCGGGCGTAGACTCTCAGCATCGTTGCCCCAAATCGTCCACCAGCTGGATAGGGTGTTCAGATCGACGGGAGTGCCGTGGTATGAGTTCCATCCATGTTGAACGACGAAATTGTGGAGGGCAGCGCATCGTTCCGAGTCCAGGCCGTCAATTTCCCGTGGTGGATTGTCTGGAGTTACTCGCCATTGAGCTATAGATTCGAAGGAGGAAGCCATGGTTGAGAAAATTTAGGAGGCGAGCTAGCGGTTAAATAGCTCGTGGAACACGTCACTTAGTCCGCTCGGCCTAATTTAAATTCCAAAGGAGTGAGCATAGGTAACAAAGCGTGTGTATGCAACTGCTTTTAGCGCGGAGGAAATGGAAACCGATTACAACATAGGACATTGCCCAATAGCGCGGTAGATGATACAACAGTGGATGATGCGACGGTGTCTTGGAGCTAGTAGAAACTGCAAATAGCCCTCACATTCAAGCACTTCAACATTGCAAGAGAACATCCAGATACAACACGTATCGTACATTGGAATTTGCCCAGCTCGGAGCTTTACTTACTGCGCCGTAGGCGCCAGCGCCTCCCACTCCTTAACAGCAACACCACCGAACTTGCCACCGCTGCCCGAGGCGGTCAGGATGGCACGCAGAGCCGACGTCTTGACCTCCGTGAACGAAACCTCCTCAGGGTCATCAGTAACCTCAAGAGGATAGTCGGACGCATCAACCTTCTCCCACGATCCCGCATCTGTCTGGTACTCGACATGCCAGTCCGCAGGTGGAGGGACGCCTTCGGTCGCTCCCGCAGCCTGGTCGGCGAAGAATGCCATGCGCACACCATTCAGCGTAACAGTTGAGTTCCACTCGTAGGTCAGGGTGCTTGTCTCGGGCGAGTTATCGCCGTCATACGAGCTCCAATAGTCCGGCGGCAGTGGGTTCGAGGGAATCTTTTCGTCGTGAAGGGACTCCACCCAGTACTGGATGGGGGTCTCGTTTTCGGAGCTCGCGGTCGCCTTGGGCGCAATGTTGCGCGTAGGCTTCGCGTCGGGGTCGGGACGCTTCGTCTGGACGACCTTGTTGATGGCAGGCGGAGACTGGCTGTCGTCAAAGGTGAGTTTGTCGAAGGCGACGCTGCGGCGGAAGTGGCCACCACCCTCGGCGTCGGCTGTGTGGTAAATCATGTACCATTCGCCGTCGAGCTCAACAGCGCCCGAGTGCGAGGTGGTCGAGGACACGAGGCCCAGGATGACGTCACCAAAGGTCCAGGGGCCGAGCGGGGAGGAGGCGGTGCCGTAGGCGATACAGGCGTGGTAGGACGTGGGGGTGCAGGGAGAGTCTGCACCGGCATTGTTGGCCGCGTAGAGCATGTAGTAGGTGTCCTTGCGCTTCATGATCCACGGAGCCTCGAAGAAACCTGTCAGGCTGTCTACGGTGACGACGTCGCCTTTGGTAGTAACCATGTCGGTGTCCAACTCATAACCGCGAAGCTGATTGAAGGTTCCGTAGTAGACATACACCTTTTCGCCGTCGACGAGAACGGTAGGGTCGATGTTCTGGATGTCGTTGCCTGGTGCCGGGACCGACTGCGACAGGATGGGCCCGTCGGGGTGTGCATCAGTGTAAGGGCCGAGCGGGCTGTCCGCAACAGCAACACCAATGGCGAAGGGGTCGGTGTTCTGGGAGTTGGCTTCGGTCACGGGCGCGTACAGATAGAACTTGCCGTCCGGACCCTGGACGATTTGGGCGGCATAAGCAGTTCCCTCTGCTGCCCATTTGAAGATCTCGTGCGGCTTGGCGAATCCGGGGTGAAGAGTCCATTCACTGCCTGATGGTTTGGGATTCTCCCCAACGAACAACTCCCATTCATTGATGACGAACGAGTTTTCTTCCACCGGCGCCTCATCGTGTCCGGCGATGATGTACAGCGTGTTGTTGACGACAAGCGGCGCCGGGTCAGCGGAGTAGTACGATCCATCGGCCAGGATGGGGTTTCCTTCGGAGGTGAACTTGATGGGGTCAGCGGCATAAGTTGCCGCGCCCTGGAGGACGAGCAGAAGCAGTTTGGCGTACATCGTTGGCGTGGATGCTGAGAGATGAACATCTGTAGTCGCCTTTTAACTACTATCCGTTTTCATCTGAGACACGCGGGGGCGGGTGGAAATCCACTTTTCCGTTTCCAAGTGTTTGGCGAACGGAATAATCGGACCATCATCTGGAAACGTCGGCCCGGTAATCTGTGTCATATTGATTGACCCCTGAGCAATGCCGCTGATTTGGGTAAAAGTCCTGCCTATCTTGTCGGATGTGCTTCGAGAACGGGAGAACTGCAGCCACAATCATTAGTAAGGCGGAAATGAAGGGCTATGCGGGGTGGATAACCACCTCAATCAAGAAGGTGAGGTAGAAGGCGGGCCGGCAGATTAACTGCATGGAGCATTGAAGATCAGAAGCGAATACGAGACGTTCTGCAGATAGACGAGTACTGAGCTGACAGTTTACCTGATTGTGGAGGCCTAACAAGCGCGTACAGAGATACAGAACATGAGGATTTGCGAATTAGCACTGGATTATCTGCTACCTGTAGGGTGTCAGCGGATGACTGGAGGCGGGCAACATTTGTACTGTACATACATACCTAGTCCCACGCGAAATCAGTGACGTTCATGTACGTCTCCAGCACTCTCTTGCATCTCTCCGCTGAACCGATAAACTACATCCTCATATCTCCCCTCCGGAAACACATACAGCCACTCCAGCTCTTCCTCTCCGCAAAACACGCCATGCTCAGCATCGCCTGGTATCCACACTATCATATCCTTGCTCACGCTGTGTCTCTGCCCATCAATCTCGACTTCCCCGGCGCCGGATAGGATGTAGTATATCTCAGCTTGCGCGTGTCGGTGAAGCGCGAGCGAGCCATTGGAAGGACAGACAGCGACTCCGGCGCTGAGGGAGGTAGTCGAAGTAGTCGAAGCGGAGAGCAGCGTACGCCAAGCAGTGTTGCCACGGTTGGGCTCGGCGAAAGACGATGGCGCGTTGTCGGTTGAGCGAAGGAAGACTGGAAGGGACATTGTGAGGGTAGTCAATCGAATCGCGATGAGGCGAGATGGTCAAGATTTGACACGCTAGAGCATAGCAATAAGCAGAGAACGAGATGCTGGTCGGATTTGCCAAATGGGGTATTCCATTGCGGGGTCAGATTGACGTAGGTTGCAGGATCTTGACGGAGCAGTCCATCACCGTCGCACGTTTCTGCGGCCTTTCAACTCAAGTACCCAGTCACGTCTCTGGAACCGTACCAGCAAGCAGACGTGATATCAGGGCGGTACAGCCCTGGCGGTACTTCCTTGGACTCGGCCTGGGTAGGCATTGCGTCGACGCGACACCAACGGCGAGATCCCAGGGAACCGACGACGGGATGGAGCCACGGCTGTATGGCAGCAATGGCTACAGAATAATTTGCGGTGCTGAGCGGGCAGGCCTGGCGGACGGAGCTCTCGACTGCGGAGTGGAGTGGAGTGGTGTTGCGACCGCACCGCGATGGCTCACCCTCCGAAAGTACCGACGATTTGCCGGTGACCACCAACTAAGTCGCAACCATCACCATCTATTGCGCTCAACCATCAATGACCGCGACGCTGTACCAGCAATATCGAATCCCATGATAAGCCGGCAAATGTAACTGGCCAATCAGCGTCTGTTTCCTTCCTCGGTCGTGGCCACACTCGCCTTCAACGCGCCTACAAATTGTATAAACTCGTGTATATCTTGTTCCTTTCCAGGTTAGGCCGAACTCGGACTTTGCAGGGGTTAAATCTGAACTGCCTCTTATCAATGAGCAAATTAGAGCAAGATTCTAATAACGCTGTTCTTTGCTAACCACCGAGAAAGTATGCCTGCTTTCCGAGCCCGCTTTGGATCACCAGCAACACAACATTTGCCATTCCCGACTAGGCCTCTCCAACGCTCATCACTGTAACCAAGTTTGTCATCTTTTCTTGCTCAAAACAGCTCGTTCCTGCTCGCATCTTAGGCCACCACTTAGCTACAGCGCCTGCGCCGCCTGCAATGCTGTGTGCATCGATGTTCTTCGCCTGAAGAATACTGGTAGCCACGCGTGCGGTGTCTCCAGTGTAACAAGTCATGAGCACACGCCTCCCCTGCAGAGACGAAACCCCCGGAATCGTGCAGCGTTTTACTTGTTCGCCGAAAAACGACTCCATCGCTTGCCATTGGTCTCGCAAAACCTCGCTGTTGAAAAACGGGCTCGGCAAAGATTTTTTGACGGAGTTCATTGGTATGTTGACCGCGCCAGGGAGGTGGCGTTCGTTGAAGTCGTTTGCCTCTCTCAGATCGAGCAAGATTACGGAGACTTTCAGTGTTGGCATTCCAGCCCCGCCGAGTGGATGAGGATCGAAGAATTGGCTGAACGCGTCATTTCCATTAAGCTCCCAGGCTTCGTCGTAGCGGTAAAGGTCTACCGCAGTTAGGTGCTGCAAAGTCAGCTCCTTGCTCTTACCGAGGCAACTAAACTTACATGGTTGGTAATGGGACTAAACTGGTTGGCGTCCAACTTTCCAAAGTACTCGTTGATGTATTGGTAGGGCAAGTCGCAGCACAGGAAAACGCAGTTGGTTTCACCGTTTTCGTCCCGGATCTCATCGAGAGTCCCGGCTGACTTTCGCTTCTCGATGAATTGATACAAACCTGAATACAGTTAGCATTGCCGACTCATGAGCTTTTCACACCTTACCCTGTAGGTTAAAGCCGGAAGAAGGCCCGCAGATAAGCCCTTCACGGGAAAGAGCAAGGGATAATGCATACGCATCCACGGATCCGACCTCCTCTGTCATGTCCGTTGCGGCACGCCAAGGAAACACCACCGGAGCCATGAGCGCGTAAGATCGAGGTCCAGGAACCCGATCTCCCGCTGCGGTACAGACACTGCTCCTGTTAGCGAAGCACTTACAAATTCAATAACCTTACCCCACTCGGATCACCGAAGGCTTGATATCCTTAAAGTAAGTGCCTATCCCGGTCATAGTTCCGGAAGTACCCATTCCGGCGCAAAGTACTTGGATTTCCGGAAGCTGTTTGAGAATCTGTGGGCCTGTCCACTTGTAGTGGGCTCGCCAGTTCTGAAAAGTCAGCGCGGGTAGTAACATTGACTCGGATGGCCTTACTTCCTCATTCTCATACTGATTTGGATTCACGACATTGTCGTTCTCTATCGCCTGAAGTCTAGCGGCCTGTATGCCGCCCCTATTGTCAAGCGGCTCCGGTTGAGACGGTCCTCCAAAAAGCGTGCTAACAATGTTAGAAGTGTCGACGAATGTGTAAATCACTTACATGTTCAGTCCGAAGAACTGCATGAGCCTGAGCTTTGCGTCGCTCGTCTTGTTGCTCAAGTATGCTCCTGTGTCATTGATTCCATGGAACACTCTTCCGATCAGAGACATGGAGATGACAGTTGATCCAGAGCTGTATTCGATGATCTTTTCCGTCTTTTCTGACACATTCGTTGACAGCATGTTCAAGGCTTTGGATATCAGTCACTTTACTCGAGTTGCGAAAACGCCGGGTCTTACCTGGGAGTGATTTGACATTGTTGGCAGGGAGCATTGTCATCATCTTGGCATAGATGCGAACTCCATCTTGTCTATACGGGTTAAGACAACCCGGAATCTCAACCAGCGGAAGAGGAGGTTGACAATCGGGATTGAAATACTGCTTGAGAGAATCCTCTCCGGAGTAGACGTTGAGATGGTTCGCCATGGTGCTGTTGCTCTTACAAGGTGAGCGACTTGGTGATTTAATAACCCTCTCATCGTACCAAGTACTCAAGGTGCTCAAAATCTCTCACGCTCAGCGTGATGCGTGATGCATCGGAATGCCATTCCACGACTCGACCTCGAGCTGTCTGCGATCAATAAGGCAGTTATATGTTGATCTCTGTTTCGAGCATCAAGGTAGACGTTTGATTTCTGTCATGTGTCACTGGCGACACTTTGCGCCTATTTGTTGCGAGTTACGATCGACGCAATCTGCTCAAAGACGATACCTTGTTGGCCTAACCGAGAAGTCAACTTTTTCCGGCTTAATCGCGACGCGCACATTAGCGCACGATATACTGTTGGCAACGTGGGTCACTATGACAGCTGTCAGTAAACATTGTACTCGGTTGTCTGCTTGGACCGTGGTCACCGCCGAATTAAAAATGTAGACGGCACGGGGAAATGGAAGCAATTGTTCGTTTTGACCCTACAGCTCATAACCTGCAGTGAAACACAATGAGCAAGCCTTCTGAAAGTTCAGGCACGGTAGACGCGCCTTCGTCTTTGCGCGTTGAGGAAAAGTCGGACGTTGAGGCTCCTCCGGTTTTCAACGAACAAACCAAATATCTGCCACGAAGGAGAATCATCGCAGTTTGCTGTCCCAACACCATGTCTATATGATGCCATATTAACATCTTCAGGTTTTCCTAGCATGTGCGAGTATTGACTTTACTGCTCTCTTGGATCAAACATCACTCGCTGCCAGTCTGTCAATCATCGGAAAGTCTCTTGGAGCGAGTGACCACAGCTCATGGATTTCTGGGGCTTATTTTGTGTTGGTTACATGCCGAAATCCTAAAGGTCAATGCTGACCAATAGCAGCACCTCTACTTCATTTCAATTGCTTTACGGAAGGCTCTCGGACATCTGGTCTCGAAAACTCATCCTCCTCATCGGAATCGGTATTTTCTTCTTCGGCTCATTGGCATCTTCGCTTGCACGGAATGCAATTGAGCTCATTGTTTTTCGTGCATTTACTGGCGTCGGTGGAGGCGGTTTGATGACCGTAGCGCAATTTATTGTCAGTGATGTAGTACCTCTACGAGAAAGAGGGAAGTATCAAGGGCTACTAGTAAGTGCTATAGCTCTTTCAGCTTTTGCGACTCCATCCATTAATAAATATACAGGGTGCCTTCGTAGCTCTCGGAAACGGAGTTGGCCCAGTTATTGGTGGTGCCTTGGCCTCACAGTCTGAACAGTCATGGTATGTCAGTGATCTCCTCTATTCCAATTCAATCTAACGGTAAAGGCGCTGGATCTTTCGGCTCAATCTTCCCTTAAGCGTGATCATGGTTCTTTGTGTTGTATTCTTCATGCCTTTGAAAAGGGTTGAGGGTGACCGGAGACTGTAAGTTGTAGCCTTTCGCTGAAGAAATCCTTGCTAAGCATACCAGAAAACTCAAAGCCATTGACTTCTTTGGGGCCTTCTTAGCTCTTGGTGGCTCAGCCGTTCTTGTGGTAAGTAAAACTTGTGAAATTGTCGGAAGATACTGACAGCAAGAAGTTAGCTCTCACATGGGCTAATGGACACTACGAATGGAGCTCTTCTCACGTAATAGCGTCTTTTGTCGTTGGTGTCGTCGTTTGCTTCATGTTCGTGTTGTGGCAATGGAAAGGGACAAAGGTCCCGCTAGTACCCTGTAAGTCAGCAAACAACCACGCATATACTCAGCTCACAACTGTTAGTGTATGTTTTCAAGAGCAAAGTTGTGAACGGCGCTTCGATCACCATGTTCATCAATGGCTGGAACTTCGTCACGCAAGTCTACTACGTTCCTATGTTTTACCAGCTAGTATACGGCTACTCCGCAACTAAGTCTGGAGCCTTGCTGCTTCCGATAACATTGACCCAAAGTATGTTTTCTGTCTATGCGCACAACACATACTGATTTTAAAAGCCGTTGCCAGCACTTTATCCGGTTTAATGGTCTCATGGACAGGGCGGTACAGAGTAAGTATGGCCCAAGACATACTCCGTTCTCGACTAATAGATACAGGAAAACATTTTGTTTGGATGGACCGTATGGGCTATTGGCCTCGGTCTTTTTTCAACACTCAATGAACATTCTGGGCTTGACAAGCAAATCGGATACGCTATCTTGACAGGAATAGGTGTTGGTAATACGCTGCAACCGTAGGTCTAGCTCTTCCCGTCTCAAATCCAGGTACTAATTTTGTCAGTTCTCTCATGGCTATCCAAGCTGGAGTTGAAAGAAGAGACATGGCTGTTGTAACTTCGTTCCGGAAGTGAGTAACAATTCTTGCTACACATATGCACATACTGATGACACACAGTTTTATCCGCAACCTTGGATCAACGTTGGGTCTTGCAATCGCCGGAACAATAATGTTAGTGTCTTTAGTACAGAGTCTTTGCATCTACTAACAACCTGCAGCAACACCTCTCTCCGGTCTAGTCTTGTTCCGCTCGGGCTCTCTCCCGCCGATGTACGGAATGTTTTGAAAAATCCCGATGGAGCATTGAAACCTTCACAAAGCAGTAAGCAGACAATGGCAATCCAAAAGGCCCTAAAGACAGCCTACGAAAGCGGTTTCAGAACCCTGTTCTATGTTAATTCTGCTCTGGCTGCTGTGGCATTCGTTGCTTCGTTTGCCCTCATGCCGCAAATTAGCTTGGTGCGATCTGATGACCAGAAGCTTGTAGAAGAACAACAGCAGAAGGAAGAGGCTAGGCGGGACGCAAAATTAGGGAAAGCTTGAAACGAAGTTGGAGATTAGAGGCTAGATGTATAGTGTACGCGGGCTTATCCTTCACAACACGTAGTCGCCAAAGCTTCTTACGTACTGTTCTACGATTCTTTGTTAAAGATCTGGATCTCAAGCTTCATTGTATTTAGCTTTCCTCGCAACGTAGTGCGGTCCTTCTAATATCGCAATTCAAGTTGCCGAGTAATGCTTGCGCCGCATGGCGTATTTGTAGTGTAGCTATTTGAGGTTCGTCAATAAACAAATCTGCCGATTTTCGTGGACGAAGGTCAATACCCATTAACCTCACTATACGTACACCGCTTCCTGCAACATAAAGCATCATAGCCGCTGCTACGCACACCGCTTCAAGATATTTTGACACCTTGATAATCTCTCCACTAAAGTGATCAGGGCCGATAAACTTTTACTGCAGATCAAAACTCAAGGAATGATTCCAGCAACGAATTCGAAGATCAAAGACGTTTCCTAGAGATAAGCCTTGAAATGCATGCTAAGCCTACTTAGTTTTTGGCTGCATTGACGGGTTAACAGGTGTTGCAATGTCAAATATCTTCTAGTGATCATTGCCTTCTTTATCGTCCATGTGTCAGTTGCCTTGTCAATCACAGCCTTATTCACAACGACAAGTAAAACACCATGGTGGATATATTCTTGTAGATTCCATCAAAGTTATGGATTCCTGGCTCTTAAGTTTCGTCAAATTTCAAGTTCAACATCATGAAATTGGCATCTTGTTTTCTCTCTCAATTTTATCCGCACTCATTCGAAACAATCGAAGATGAGAAAAACCATTCTTTTTCCCTCAATCTTTAGCTTAATATTAAATCCACTGTCTACGCATGCCTATTCTTCCCAGCATACGGTCAAGGTGGATGTACCAAACTCTATCCAGCCCGGTGGGCTTGCCAACATCTACCTGGACTGGCAAAAACCTTATCAAGGTTCCCTCCGAATCATTTTCTCTTCTTGCAATAACAAGAATGGCTCCCACGAACAACTCATCGGAACCTTGGAAGCTCAACAAGAACCTCCGGATCGCTTTGCCTGGGCGGTTTTAGGAGACATGCCACCCAGCGGCTGCGTTTACGTTTTCGGGTCCAAGGCCAATTCCGAGCTGCTCGGAAAAAGCGCTTCTGTCCTTGTCCACAAAGCACCGAAGAAGAGATCCACACCAAAGCATCAACCACTACTGCAGGATTTCGATGCACTCGGGGCATGGTTCGACGGCGTGGCAGCCATCAAAGACAAAATCGATCGGCATGGCAGCGTGTCCAGCAGTAAAGTGCAAAAGAACACCTCAATAGCCATTGTTGGGGCAGGAATCTCCGGTCTGGCCACCGCCCTCATGCTCGACAGCGTCGGGATCCACAACTGGGAAATTATTGAAGCCAGCGATCGAGTCGGCGGAAGATTCAGAACGAAATACATGCGCGGGACTCAAGAGTGGGCTGAGATGGGGCCCATGAGACTTCCTCATTCCGTAACCTACAAGGGTGGAGAGACACTCGAATACACGGACCACCGAATGACGTTCCAACTGGCTGAACTGCTTAACAATATGAATGGCAACAGTTCCAAGTGGAGGATTGATTTCATTCCTTGGATTCAGCATAGTCCAAACGAAATTCTCGCACTTGGTACTGGTAGACACCCAGACGGAAAGATCCCGACCAGAGCGGAGATTGAGGCTGATGCCACACTGGCAAAACCTGCGCCTTTGAACACTGAAGAGTACGAAGACACGAAGCAGCGCATGGACGATATGTTTAAAAAAGAGTCAGTGCTCAAGTCACTACAACGAGATGTATGGCGAGCCCACAAGAAAGCCATGGACGACGGTCTAGACGATTGGAGCGAGCAAGCCATGCTCCGCCACGTCCTCAAGGCAAGCGAAAACGTCACCGACGCGATCTGGACAGCCAGTGACTACGACGTCTTCTGGGATGAGCTCCACCACAACTCCAACCTCGGGTTGGATGGCAGCAAAGACTCCTTAGGGAAGACAGAGTGGAAATGCATCGACGGTGGATTCAACAGACTTTCAGACGCCTTCCTTCCTCACGTCAGCGACAGACTCACGCTTAACCGAAAGGTCCGGAAGCTGGAGCCTGTGCAGGATGCGGATGGCCGAGACCGCACTCGGCTTTCATGGTACCCAAGCATTGCGAACAGAACTTACGAGTCCAAGGAATATGACTACACGATTATGGCGGTGCCGTTTACTATGACGCGGTTCATGGATCTGCCTAAGTTTTCTTCTGTGCTTGACCGCGCCATCAGTGAGGCCGGGCTCCGGTTCAAGTCGGCGTGTAAAGTTGCTCTTCTGTTCTCAGAGCGGTTTTGGGAAAAGGGTGAACGCCCCATTTTTGGAGGTTACTCTACACCTCCTAACGCCGCCGTTGGAGCAATTTATTATCCCGTCTATGGCATTAATGAGTCCAGGCCTGGGCTGATTATGCACTATCGCGGAGGAGACTGGAGTGACCGATTCGTCAGTTTCTCGGACGAGGAACACGTCCAAACAGTACTTGATTCTGTTGTTGACTTGCATGGAGGGCAGGCCAGGGAGCTCTACACGGGAGATTACGAGCGGCTCTGTTGGCTTCAAGATGAGCATACCGCTACATCGTGGTGTCGTCCTGATGTTGAGCAACACAAGCTCTACATTCCTTCGTACCATACGACCGAGCACAACACGATTTTCATTGGGGAGCATACTGCGCCTACGCATGCTTGGGTTAGTTCTTCGTTGCACTCTTCGGTTCGCGGTGCCGTGCAGCTGCTTCTCGAGTTAGGCTTGGTGGACGAAGCGAAAGAGCTAAACCGTCGGTGGATGGGGAAATGGATTAAGTTGTAACATTTGTAGTGACAGGCCAGCTGGAAGTTGAAGCGTTCAGCGTTTGATGCATTTCGGTACATTGGAAATTCTTTGGGTAAATGTGTAACACAAAAGATTCACTACGTGTTTCCCATCAGTTGTTCCTTCGTTTTGCTCGTCCGAATGGGATTAAGATATACCTTTTCACTCACTGCTTAACAAGTTTGCCTCTTTCCTTTTAATCTTTTGTTTTCAGTATGGAATTCGAGAATTTGCTCAGCTCAATCGTAGAAGTGCTTGATCTGTGTTCTGATAATAGGTAGAAGAACTGTTAAAATTTAGTAGTCGTGTCGGAAACTGCGGCTGTTGTTGCTGTTGACACGTCGCTCATTAAAACCGGCTGGTTTCTTCGTTTTTGTCGATTCTACTTTTAGGGGCCAATCTCAATCTGCAATATGCTCTTTATACGTCTTCGTCTCCGGTTGATGAGGATAAGAACGAGGTTGAGGTTGAGTGATGAGGGCGGCGGGAGTGGCGTGGGTATGGGCTGACTGCGACCGGGGGGGCATGGGGTGGGATGGCGGGGCAGGGTTATCGCTGGCACGCTGATTGTCGAGTCGGCCCGATCAGAACAACTAGCTTCCATTGCGGTCATCACTCAGTCAGTCCTGTCTACTACATAACCTACTACCTGTTTATAGCGAAAGATCAATTTCCACATCTTGAAATGTCACCACCAAGTCCCCTCCCACATCCGCCTTGCTTGCCGGCCTTGCTGCCATGGCCCTCACATCAATCACCCATCCATCCTCCTCCGCAAACCACCATGTGCACTCCCGCAACGGCCTCCGCTCCTTCACCTGCCCATCATCTCCCAGCACCAACTCATACACCCACAAGCTTGTCCCCAGCGCGTCGCCCTCTCTGCGCACTTCCACCGTCACGCTCTTACTTTCGCCATCGGCCGGTGGCATGACGCTCCAGTCAGAGTACGTCTGCGTGGCGACGGTGCTCAGGAAAGCGCGCGATTGGTAATACTCGATGCCGGTTTTGAGCCAGCGGTCAGAGCCAGAGCTTGCCGCCGCGCCCGGCTGGGTAAGATGGAGCAGCAGGCCACCCTGGTCGTATTGTGTCGTCCAACGACCACTAAGGGTAAGACGGGCGCGATTGAAAGTTTTTAGAGGGACAGGCGCAGAAATAAGAGGATAAGTGGGCGCAGAGAAGCTGGAGCTGCTTAATACCATGCTTCACGTGCATGAGATCCTTTGGTGAAGACGCACCTGTTTGTGCTTGGGGGTTTGCGCCAGATGTCGGTGCCGGGAGGAGCGGTGATGTCGAAAGAGTCGGGCATGGTTGCTTGGGTGAAGCTCAAAATGAGCGCAAGCAAAGTGGCTACGAGCTTGGGTTTTAACATTTTCGGGTTCTCGCAAGCTGTACGGATTAACGTTGGCTGATTTTCAATCTGCAGCATATGAGCGGGGAGTGTAACCTCTTTGGTATCTTGAGTTCCGCAACCCTGGACAAGCGCTTACTTGGCGCTATACGTATACGGTAACCTTGGCAACCGTCGATAAGATACTACAGGTCAAAATTGCCGACGGCAAGGTTCGACTTAAGGCGCGTGGCCATCGAAAGGGACGCTACATACAGGACACTCGCGCATCTGATCGGCAACACAAGGAACTGATAGGCGTCATAGACAAGAGAGACTAGTGTGTTAACTTATGCCTGAATGAGTAAGTTTAGTCACTAAAAGGTAAGTTCTCAATATGTCGGTCCGGAGGTGCAGTATAGACCTGTAGCTGATTAATTTACTGGCTTAATAAATGCCTTCATTTCACTCAGGATATACGTGAATACTCCCGTTGCAACCTTTGCGGTAACGATTGGACGTGAGTGTGCCCTGTAGCTCCGCAATGTGGGGTTGATCTGAGTAAGCGGCCCCTAGGCCCCGCCTTGGCTATTTTAACTGCAATTGTTTCTCGTCGCTTGTTACTGTACATTTTCGCGTTCGAAAATGGGCGCAACACTCTTGATTTGTTCCGCTCTCGTCGGTGCGGGGCTTCATGCATGCTCCCAGTTGCGAGAACTTGATTTAGCCCTTCCACAAACTCTCTTCTCCCTCGGTGCCGTGGCCTTTGCTGCCATCTATGCCGGCGTCTACTCAACGGCTACCAATGCTGCGATTTCCCTGTCAATAACCACTCTCAGCCTGACAGTATGCACACTTGTGTACCGCGCTTTTTTCCACCGATTGAGGAAATTCCCTGGACCGTTCCCCGCCAAATTGACAAAGTTTTACGGCGTCTGGTTGTCACGAAACAATCAATACCACTTTGAAGTAGAGAAATTACACGAGAAGTACGGCGATGTACTGCGAACAGGTATGTGCTACTCGTCCGTGTTTTACAATGCTAACACAAGTAGGTCCCCGGGAGTTAACTATTTCCCGCGCCTCTCCCCTACTTCAGATAAGCGCATGTGGCAAAACCAACTTCTACTCCATGCACGATAGCAACCTAATGCGGCTGGGCCTGGCTTCTACCACCAGCATCGACGACCACCGTAAGCGGAGAAGGGGCTGGAACATTCCCTTGACGCCGCAGCGTAAGTAGCGCATTAGTGCACGTAGAAGAGTTTTAACAGTATCAGAAATATCCATATACGACGACTCGATCCATTCGGTAGTCTCTATCTTCCTGGAGCGCATCGCAGAGACTGCCGGGAAACCAACCAACATCACTGAATGGAACTCCTGGCTTTCGTACGACATCATGGGCATCGTCGGCTACGGGAAGGACTTTGGCAACCTCCGGAATAACAAAGAGCACAATGCTATCAAGTTGCTCCGGGAATCAGTGGCAGTTCTGGGTTTTTTCAAGCAGGTTCCGTGGCTGGGGAACCTCCTTGTACATATTCCCGGTGGTTTAGGAGCCTTGGAGCCTTTTACGAAGTACTGCAAGGATCTCGTGACTGAGAAGCAACAGGTGAGTTTGACATCGGAGGCAGTGGGCTGGATGAGCCGAATGATTAAAAAAATCGTAGTTGATCAGGGGTAAGAGCCTTGATTCGCCCACGGATATCGTTACCTGGTTTATCAAATCCTTTGAAGAGAAGAAGAATTACGCGGCGCATACTATTGAAGGACTTCATGATGACTCCCGTTCGCTTGTTGTCGGTGGATCGTAAGTTCATTCCTCTTGCTCAGACGTCTACAATTGCAATGTTCTTACTGAATCACCAACAGAGACACAACCTCGGCCACCATGACCAACATCCTCTACTACCTCTCCCTGCACCCCCACTACATGAAGAAGCTGCAATCCGAACTCGACAGTGTTTTTCCCAACGGCCCCTCCACCTTCACATCCAACAAATTGGATCATAGCTTGTTTGACCGCGTCCCTCTCCTCGAAGGCATCATCAACGAGACATTGCGTCTTAACCCACCCGTATCAAGCGGCAATCCGCGTGTCACGCCTCCAGAGGGCATTCACGTCCCGACCCAAGGCGGGGAGGAAGCTATGTACATCCCCGGCGACGTCAACGTGCTCATGCCGCAATGGATTTTCCCGTTCCAGCTTGGTAAGTTAAGTCCTCTGTAGTTTGTGTTCGTCGGCTAATGATGGCAGGCATGTACAACTGCGTTGGCAAGGACCTCGGCATGTGGGAGATGAAGATTGTGCTCTCGAGGCTCGCGCTGCAGTTTGATGTTTGCTTTGCGCCGGAAGAGGACGGGAAGTTCCAGGAGCGTATCTTGGATACGTGGACGCTGACGTTGCCATCGTTGAATTTAGTGTTTACTGAGAGGAAGGCGGCGGAATAACCAGGGATTTGATAGATATTTTTAAAATTTATCAGTCGTCCGGGACAGTTATAAGTTTTGCGTTTAGTGTCTTTTATATTGGAAAGGTCAATAATGGTTATTTGTAAGTGATGTTCCTTTTACCTGTGAAAATCTCGATATATCCGAGAACTTATAGGGGCCGATTATACACGAGCCGGGATTATTGTGAATAGGCGAAGATGATAGTATATATTTATTGCAAATCCACCAATAAAGTTTTATCATGTGCCGAAACATTTTATTTTTACGACTAAATTTTCATGTTTGACAAAGATACTTCCTACTCAAAATCTTTAAAGCTCGCGCTCCGAGAAGTTACAGTCTTGGTTCTTGTGCCTGAGCGGGAGTTTCAAAGTCCGAGTACCGGGTGGACTGATAAACTGACTAGCCTTCCAACGCAACCCTTGTCGCTCCGCGAGCTATTGTACTTCCGGAAGGCCGCCCTTGGCCCAGAGCCAAAAGGGCGAACACAGCAAATGCCACTCGTGGCAAAAGGGGCGAACGGAGTGGGCCTCATGCGCAGGCCCGGCCACGTGGAGCCGAGTGCCCGGCGCAAACCGAGAAAGTCCCGCAGGATTTGACTTTTTCCTCGAACGCCTCACTACCGCTTGGATTCGCTGAACAAGTCGAATCCATCCATTCCCCGACTTCTCCATCGACCGCTGCTGGCTGCATGTCGCGCTGTACCTGATCTCCAGTGGTAGCGACCGTTTTGCGGGCCGCCCCAGTTTACGACGGCCAATGGCGATTTGCGGGGCAAACCCATCTCCACATGGCTTGCGACTAGCCTGAAACCGGCCTCAAGCTAGTTCGATGCTGGCGTGCGCCCCACAGAGTTACAACATGCTCTTTCGATATCCAAGACCCTGATAACTAATCACCACCACCGCTTTCTTGTATATAGACACGTTCGCAATGCTTCTCCTCACTATTCCCACATCCCGCTTCTACACATCGACACAATGGCCCCTACCCGCTTTGAATCCGAGGAGGTTGACGTTTCCCCGCTGGGGCAGCCGCTCAAGTACGAGTTCTCCGGCCGCACCGCCATGAACCGCTTCCTCAAGGCCCCCATGACCGAGAGGCTGTCGTCCTGGGACCCTAAGGTCAAGGAGAACCGCGGCATCCCCTCCAAGGAGCTCATCAACCTGTACAGGAGGTGGGGTGAGGGTGGCATTGGTGTCATCGTCACCGGCAACACCTTCTGCGAGTGGGACGACATCGAGGCCATGGGCAACCCCATCATTCCCACCGAGGCTCCCTTCGAGGGCGAGCGCTTCGAGGCTTTCAAGGAGATGAACCTGGCTGGCAAGAAGCACGGCTCTATCATGCTCACCCAGGTCAGCCATGCGGGCAGACAAGTTTGGTAGGTGACACCACGTGAGCGGATGGAATCACGAGTTGACTTTGATCAGGGACGCCATTCAGCCCAACCCCATCTCTGCGTCTGACGTTCGTCTTGTAAGTATTGAGCTGCCCCCAAAACAAAAGCAAAGCAAAACAGCTGACAATTTCCAGGAAAAAACCGTTATGGGCATGAACTTCGCCAGTACGAACACAATTCCCAATTACTTTATGAAGACGCACTAACAAATCAGAGCCCCGCCCCGCTACGCAAGAGGACATTAACCGGGTCATCGAGGGCTTCGCCCACGCGGCCGAGTACGTCGAGAAGGCCGGTGGTGACGGTATCCAGGTGCACGGCGCCCACGGGTACCTGCTGGCGCAATTCCTCAACCCCGAGACCAACAAGCGGACGGACCAGTACGGCGGACCGATCGAGAACCGGGCGCGCATCATCACCGAGATCGCCAAGGCGGTGCGCAAGCGGACTCAGCCGGGCTTCGTCATGTCCATCAAGCTCAACTCGACCGAGTTCCAGGACAAGGAGTTCCAGGCGGCCGAGGCCAAGAAGCTGTGCGCGATCCTGGAGGAGCACGAGTTCGACTTTGTCGAGATCTCGGGCGGCTCGTACGAGGACCTCGGCTTCCTGCACAACAAGCGCGACTCGACCAAGAAGCGCGAGGCGTACTTTTTCGAGTTTGCCGAGATCATGGCCCCCAACCTCAAGAAGACCAAGGCCTACCTCGTGGGCGGGCTCCGCACCGTCGGCGCCATGGTCAAGGTCCTCAACACGGTTGACGGCGTTGCCCTCGGCCGCCCCACGTGCCAGGAGCCGCGCATCTGCAAGGACATCATCGAGGGCAAGGTCAAGGGCGCGATTGTGCAGAAGATCGACGCCGGCGACTACCTGATGAACACGGTCGCAGCCGGTACGTTTATTCTAGAAGCGCGAGATCAGCGCCTGAACCCTGCAGCTGCAGCAGCTAACACACTCATCACCTTCCAGGCATGCACATGATGCAGATCGGCAAGGACCGTGAGCCCATCGACCTGAGTCAGCAGGAGAACTTCGAGGCCTTTGCCACCGACCTCGGCGCCTGGGGCCAGAAGATGGCCACCAACTCGGACCTGCTGCACTACGGCTGGGTCGACCAGACCAGCGGCAAGATCCTTCCTTACGGCGTCACCGAGATTGCCGCTTAGATATGTCTTTGATGTATGTATGTAGACTACGATACCAGGCATCGTTTGCCGCTAGTTAGACAGTGAAAGACAAAAGACTGTTTTGCTTGTACTGTTGTACGATTTCGTTGTGCTTGTGCTTGTGCTTGTGCTACTTTGCGGTGTCGTTTTTGTTTGACGTAATTGACCGTCTTTGAAAAAGAATACTCTGATTTGCCTGATCAAAAATCGCAGTTCAGGATCCGAGAAGTGTCTATTTCCATCTTGTCTAATCCATAAGATTCCAAGTGGTGGTACAATATCCTTCAGAGCGCTGGAAGCCCGCAGTTACGTTGATTTTCTTTGTCTTACCAATAGAGAGGACTCTCATTCACCAGTCTCATTATGTTCGTAATGTTCCTGTCCTAGATCAGCTCAATCTCTCTTCCCCAACGCGTCTTCCAGCCATGCTCGAATCACTCTCACCAAACAGCAAGCTCACAGACCAAAACAACGGTAGTAGTGCATTAAACGTCGTATTTTCTCGCGATTATTATCTACATGAACACTTCCAACCCATGAACGAGTGTTTGTTGCTTGCCAACACCACAATCCTCAACTCTCTTCAAGCTATCGTCATACTCCCATGATCGTGAAACGTTTAGTTGCCGTAGGGGCTAGGCAGGTTGTTGCTCGTGTAGCAGGAGTCCTTCCAGGCAGAGCACTGGGCCATGTTGGCGTCCGGAGCAGTGCGGCACTCGTTGTCCTGCTGGTCGCAGCACTCCTTGGTCTTGCAGTCGACAGCAGTCTCCTGGCGCTTGCCGTAGGGGCTAGGAAGGCCAGCATCGCCGTAGCACTGGGCCTTCTGGGCGGAGCAGGTAGCCATGTTCGCGTCAGGACCGACACGGCACTTGTCATCCGCAGCGTCGCAGGACTCCTTGGTAGGAGCCTCACGCTTGCCGTAGGGGCTAGGCAGGCCAGCGCTCGTGTAGCAGGCGGCCTTGTCGGCGCTGCACTTGCTCATGTTCGCGTCATCAGCCGTGCGGCACTTGTTGTCGGCATCGTCGCAGGACTCCTTGGTGGCGGACTGGCGCTTGCCGTAAGGGCTGGGCAGGCCGGCATCGCTGTAGCACTGCGCCTTCTGGGCGGAGCAGGTGGC